TCCTGTGTGGAACGGGCTACGGTCCACCCACCGCCATGTGTACGTCTGGTGTATATGATTTCTCAATTAGGCCTGAATGCTTCTGTTTTGCTTGTTGAAGGAGTGTGAGCTGACTCCGTTGATGAAACGTGGCTGCCATGCACATGTCTCCCGGTCTTATTCCTTCGGGTTTACACTGGATATGGGCTGTGTGGGTGGTGCAGCGCAATCTACTCATGGCCCTTCTGTGGGCGCAGGCGTCCTGTGGCTGGCCACAGTGACAGGCAAATCCAAAACCGGATGCTCTCAACCATATATATATATATATATATATATTGTAAAGTTTGACATTTGGAACACAATGCTCAACGATTGTCCTTCGTGTGACCACGTTGGACTGCGCATCCGAAGAGAAATTTCCCTGGAAATTCTGTTGGAGCATTCCCGACAATTAACCAAGTAGCGATTATCACGATGTCGACAGTTCTTGTTCCGCTTCGCAGATTAGTGATGAGATTAAGCATAGTTGTTCATCAGCCATGCTGAATTTACCGGGGCTTATGAAAACGCACCTACTAAGTGCATGGAATGCGGAAGCGCAGAGACACCTACCAGAAGTGGCATTGCACATGGTTACTCTGTGGGATAGACTAAGTAAAATGTTAAACCCAACGGGAATGGTACGTCATTGTATTAGTATATTACATCGGAAAGGATTTGGCGCATGTCGATAATCGTTTTTTAGCACCAAATGGCTGCACCCGGAGACGTACGATGGCGATCCTTGTCAAATAGCTTATGGTCACAGTAGAGTACACATCGGCATATACAAACGGTTGAGTACTTGGACATTTACAAAACATTGCGAACACTGTTTGAAAAGTCGCGTGTTTGACGAGGGACAGCGGGACTTAGTTGATGTTACCTGTCAATATCAAAGCTTGCGCACCGATCGTTCTTTTAGGATGTGCACATACCTCTGGCAGCAGATGACCGGACCGATCGGCGACACGGTGAACCGGAAGTGGACACTCCATCGCATGTTGTGCGATCTCCCCCATCAGCTACGCAAAACGGACTGTACATATAGACGGCAACACTTAAGTACACACTGTCTTACTATACCACTTGTTTATTAATCATTCTACCTGGTAAACGCACTGATGCCAAATGCTTCCCTATTCCTATATCAGTTTCCTTCAAATATGGTTGGCCAACATTTAAGGCTGTCACTTCTGAATGTTAAAGAAAACATCAACAGTTCGTATTAGGTACTTATTCTTATGCCGGTGAAATAGGTTGTTAGCCTGACCTCCAAACGAAACCCATACACGTTTGTCATACCATTGACCATGAGGTCTAATGTGTCTCTATCCAGTTTGTGGCAGTTCATAGTTAAGTTTGGATAAACGCATATACATATGTCGTATTCGAACTGCCATAGGACAAGGATGACGCGAATCCATGCATATACGTATACACAATGAATTGGACGAGGATACTCATACCACTTTTGTATGGCCAAATAAGTGCAAAGAAGCGGCACTCGGGCAAACCGAAGATAACATCACCAGAACATGAAGGTGAGTTTATGACAAACTCATGTTGATTTCAGGTATTGTGAATTGAAGGCAAAGTTGATTGATGCGAATTCCATGGACTGATCGAAAGGGCGGCTGCCAGGTGCAGGAGAAGGCACTATTGCACGCGGAATAGAAGCACGATGCGTAGGCTCCCATTCGCTTTACTAATCCAGGCCAATAAAGTGGCGCATGTGGTACGTGTTATGTGTGTCTAGTTCACCCAGCCGCATCAACAGAGAGAACTCGCAACGGCTCTGCACACAAACGCTGTATTCTCAATTCTGAGGTAAAGTACATGTGGCCGGGTGTTTAAATACTCGTTCGTCCGTTCGATCGATCGCCTGATCGACCGCACTGAGGCAAGCGATTCCGTTCACCCCAGCTTTCAGTCACCAACACAGTACGTTTGCCTGCGTGATGAGTATTCTTGCATTTCAAAAGTAGAGGTTGTTTGAGCTCCCCGGTGTGACTGCGCCTGATGTGAATGTCGACAAAGTACCTACCTGTCTGATACCCTCCACCTCGATTGCTGGCTCCAGGAGACAGTTGGTCGTTGCTGGAGGGGACGGGGTGGACCGTCCTCGTGACGGTGCTAGGCTCAAAGAGTGGTTCCATGCAACCAGTGTGGAAAGGGGTACGGCCCAGCCACCTTGTGTACGTCTAGTGTGTATGATTTCCCAATTAAGCCGGAATGCTTCTGTTCTCCTTGTTGAAGGAATGTGGACCGGCTCTGTTGATGAAATGTGGCTCCCATCCATATGCCTCCCGGTTTATTCCTTCGGGATTACACCGGATATGAGATGTGTAGGTGGAACAGTGAGTGGTGCAGCGCAAGCCACCCATGGTCCTTTTGTAGGTGTAGGCGTCCTGTGGCTGTCCCCATAGAGACCATAGTGACAGGCAAATCCGGATACGGATGCCGCCAACCCATTCATATATATATGAGAAGAAAAAGAACTAGGCGAACAAGCTTTTTCACGGTGGTTCTAATCAGGCTCGTACACCACGACAAATAGGTATACAACAAAGAGCATTTCAATGCGATGGATCACTAAAGCGAATTGCCCTGGTCAATGAGATTAGGTGACGATATTGGCTGGAGCAAGAGCAATGGAGGAGTTAAAAGCATCGTCGTTACACGGGGTGACGCGCTCATAAGTTGGAATTATGGAGCCGAATAGCGATCGTCTCCGTTGTCGTTAATAGGCGACATTGGAATGCTGGCGTGTGGCTTCCACATATCCGGTAGATCGGCTGGAAGGCCATCGCCAGTTCCGTTCCATTAAGTCAGAAACGTAACCTTGTCCGTTGTTTAATCGAACGAGTGAAGAGGGAATGCAGGGAGGACATGCTCTCAGATGAGCCGAGCTTCATTCGGAGCGTTCTCGAACAAAATGGTTACTCGGACAAATACATCCGGAGACACATGGAACCATGTGAGCCAAAAGCCCAACCTGTTACCGCGGAAAATCGGTTAATCCACTTATCCCTGCCTTTCAAGGGCGACTTGCTAGCGCAACGAGTCAATCGAATGCTCAACGACGCCACTGCAAATACCTACTATGCAGCTGATCTCCGTGTGAGCTTTACTCTTAAACCAGTCGTGAGCCAACAACTCAAATATAGGATACCCAGGTCGAATAGTTCCTTCTGTGTGTACCACCTTGCATGCTAGTGTCGAGCAAGTTATATTGGAAGGACGACCAGGCAACTGTTTCAGAGTGTCCGGGAACATTACGCGGTGTGGCATTATACCGGTGTGTGTGTGTGTGTGCAGCGAGCACGGTGCTGTGACACTTGGCCGATTCAAATCACCAAATTAACATGCCAGAGGCCTTCCAGCCGATTCACCGGATATGTGGAAACCATAAGCGAGCATTCCAATGTCGCCTATTAACGACAGCAGAGGCGATCGCTATTCGGCTCCATAATTCCAACTTATGAGCGCAAGCCACCTTGTGAAACGACAATGCCTTCAGATGCGGATTCATCGCATTTAAATGCCCTTGGTTGTATTCCTATTCGTTGTGATGTGAGGTTGCCATGAGAACAAATGTATCCTGGGTGCATAAAGTCTATGAAGTCAAAAAGAGGGTAGAAAATTGGAGTCAGGTGACACATCAAGGATGACGGCAGTGGAAAAGTATGTGACAAGCAATAGTCACTCCGAAACGAGTAGAGCAGTACTGGTGTTATCGTGGTGCTCAGACCTCAGAATCCTGTCAGAGGGCTGGGGGGTTGAAGCCACGAGAAATGTCTTAGTTAGCAGTGTCATGTAAAAGTTTTGAAGAGACGCTCCGCTCTCAGTGACTACGCGGACAACAGTGAGTAAAAAAGAGAACTAGAACGGATATTGCTCATTTGCGTGGTTCATCGGTATGTTTTCCGGCCTAAGACGAGCTCTAAGCTACGAGAGAGGGTTTTGAAACCATCCTAGTGGAAGTCCTGGGCATAGAGAAACACCACAACACGATTTTAACAGACGCGTGTTAAGACGGACACAGGCAGGAGTAAAACTGAGGCAATTTGCTAGCCGTCAAAAAGGAGAAGCATCCCAGGAACCCCTGGCAAGCTCATGCAGGTCTAAACAAGCCTGCACAGATCGACGTGGCATAGAAGGAAGAGAGTGGCAAAAGTGAACTCAAATTTTACAGTAAAAGATCGATTGAAAAGCAGCTGACCGATTCGAAAGTGGACTTCAGGTTAAAGAAGGAAAAGGACGGAGATCTTGGTACTCATAGACAGAAGTAGGGTTGTCCATGCAAGACTGTCACAAAGCAATGGACTCTTGAGTAGAAGCCAGGCAGGGCTTGTAGACTTGAGATAAATATCTAAGAGTGAATGGTGTATGTAAAATTGGGGAAACATTTGAAGTATAGTGACAGAGTTACGGAAGTAACCACGGTGAATAACACTCGGTCAGTTCCTCAGTTTTAGTGAACTGTCCGCGGTCACAATCCACGAACGCCAAAACTGGGTGACAGAGGGATAAAGTATCCACTGAGCCAACGCAGGAAATAACGCTGATTATGCCCCGTAGGTGGATCAGTGGAGCAACACCAGAACCAGTTACTCGGGGACGTCAGCTGCTACCGTCACTGCGGTCTAGTAGCGGGCTGAACAACAGCCATAGCACAGTCGAAAGAAGTGTGCATTGCCGATGAGCTCAAAGGAGACGGAGATGCGGAATTGTTACGGCTATATGACAGAGGTTAGGGAGATCGGAATCGATCTAGATCGACGAAACTCCGTTTTGTGTGTGTGTGCGTGCGTGAGTGAGTTAAGAGTGTCGAGGTGATCCCCATTGAAAAATCGATGTGATGACCAGCGACCGAGGATGAGCAAGCCACAAAAGTAATGGACTAGTTAGTCTTTCAAAGGATATGAAACGGTGAGTGCTCACTGACGTTCAGCTAGATGGACTGAGGGAAGACGTACCTGTATCAAACACTCACTAGCCTTGGCCGTCATGGCATCCTCGTTCGCAAACAGAGTGGGACAGGCAGCTTGGAGACGCGCCGTGATTCCATCCAAGTTGATGCCACTGTCAAGATCTTGTTCGCTCTCGATCAAGTAGTAGTCGATTAAAGCATTGATGAGAGCGGAGATGAGTTCCAAACCCCTGCTCGCGGTGCCCAGCTGGGCTGTAGTAGCTGTAGGGGAGGTGCGATCTTTCCAAGCAATCGAGGGATCGGAGATGTAGGAGGAATCACTCAGACTCAGAGCATATGTCTCAAATGGTACCTGGAGCAGGAGATTCCGTTGCTCGTTGGTCATACGTCTAGTGAAAGGGGAGGGGAGAAAATATGAAACAGAGAAATACGATTCATCAGCAAGCCGATCCACAGTATTGTGTCGGCGCAGTCTTGGACCGAGTAACGTCTAGAGGGTATCTTGGATGATCGAGTTCGGACAGTGAAAGATCAAAAGCCGAACCATATTCTCATGTCTAACAAGGCACTACAACGTGGTGAAACTTGCGCTTTAAACAGAACTCAGACGTAGGGTGTTAACTTTGTAAGCTAAACTTCCATCGATATCGATAGCACATCCGCGTTTGAATGCCACTAGGTGGATTCAATTTACGCGTGGAGCTCAGAATATGCCAAGGGCCTAGAGAGCAATCAGCCGTTGCACAAGTACAAAACTACCAACCGTGTTATCGAAGTGTGAGAGCACAATGAATGCGATGTTAAGCAGGAAACGGGCCAACCAGTCCTAACAACAACAACAACAACAACAACAACAACAACAACAACAACAACAACAACAACAACAACAACAACAAGCGCAGCACTGATCCGAGCTGACGTTATCCTGCGACTTTGCTCAATAGCGTACAGCGTCCGAGATTGACATACACCGAGGTAAGCAGCAAACGGGTTTTCGAAAGAGATAAATGAGCAAATATCAGCGGTTCAAGGGTATAAGACGCCCTAAACAACACCAATAGTAGTAATCAGTAGTTTGAACTAATGCATCGCTGCAATATAAGTATAATGACCTCGGAGAATAAAGAACAGCAAGAAGAGGAAAAGGGAGGCCTTAATGTAAAACCTGAATGTGCTAAACAAAATGTGGGATTGATGTGAAAAAAGCATCAGCAGCATTTCGTCACACTGTGTCGACGCTTGGTTTCCACGCGACCACCACCAGTCGCGCAAGGGCTGGATATACCGTTAGGTCGCATGCGCCTACGCAGATTCGAACCGGAGACCTCCATATTAAAAGACAAGCGAGTAGTCTTTGCGGCCATCAGCTGACAGGTCAGTCACAAATATGTGGTTATCGTAAGGAAATAAGGAGACATCGGCAAGTCGATTTCCTTAAGGCATTCACTGCCCCTCGTCATAAACCGTCATCATCCAGCGGATAACTCGGAATCGGATAAATTTTAAACAGGAAGTTCGGTCAGGCGACGAAGGCAAGCGTGTTACTAGTGTCGGCTTAGAGCTATGCTATGTAAAGTCTGAAGCCAAACACAAGGTAGATGGTGTGGACTTCATATTAGAAACTGGAGACGGAGAAACAGAACTCAGTCTTGCAGGCATCAATTTCGTTCCGATGACTTAGTCAACACCGGTACAGTAGTCTTTAATGCTGCATCATCTAAATAGTATTGTAAACGAAGCGCCAAGGACTCATATACCGAGCACATGGGACAAATAACAGCGTTATTGCGTCGAAGGTGCAAGAATAAGGGATAAAGAAAAATGACATTAGCGTTGCGCCGGTACACAGTAATGACGCTTCGCTGCCGCACAACCCCCACCAGTCGCACGTGGGTGCGAGGGTCACCCGGTCCCCATGTAGGCTCGTACCCACGCCCTCGGATCGCAAAGCAGGCTTGTGATTCGTAAGGCCCGTAAGAATAAGTGCGAAGAGATATCAAAAAGTAACGTGGGAATTGGATGTGTTCGAGTCGCGGAACTATTGACAACGATAGCAAAGAATCCGTGTTTTGCACTAGTAATCTGCCGACGTACAACCACGAAACAATAGAGACAATTCGGTGAGAGAAAAGTTACTTGAGACGCACAGGCGCAAGATCAACATCTATGATCAAGACGCCCACATCACGCAAACGTCCTCCGATCACACACAACAAGGTTGGGAAATGGGGAAAACGTAGTGCGAAGCTTTCTCGTGACATCCAATACCCCGCCTCTCAGACTATCACACGCCACACAGCATTCAGTACATGTCTCTGCCCAGGAGACGATAACAAACACATCAATGACGCCATCTCGGAACAATCCTCCGCAATGTCGCCAACAAAGCGTATAATGGGCAGCGTGGAAGTTAAAGTGGAAGTAGAAGGAGACGGTCAGTGCTCGATTGAGTGGTCAGTGAGAGGTTCCCTTCTCACCAGGTCAATGTTTGTCCCCTCATGCCCACTTAAATTGAGTAAATAAAAGCAGTCGTCTTCGATAAGCTATGTGTGGACGGACATGTGTAGTAAGTGTATCGGTTAAGGCAAAATCTTTGGTTAATCAGAGAACAGAAACGTGATGGATCCAGGTGCCATTAAGCGGACAGTTATAAGAGTAAGCAGTAACAAGAACCGAAGAATAGGGAAGTCTCCGGAGCAGTTATTAGTTTATCTGAAGCAAAGAGGATTCCATTTAGTGGCTAGTTGTATGGTGTCCACAACAGTATAAAATGGTATCTGAGTCTAAGGAGTAATCGACAGTGTTGGTAGATAGCAAATGCAGATGGATGGAGAAATCTAGGTAGTTTCCAGAGAGCACCACTGAGTACAGCTCAAATTAACATGAAGAACGAGTCCCTGGGAAACATCAGCGAAGGAAATGCATCAAATTGTATGTTGGATGTAGAATCTCGAGGAACAGTTCGATGGACCAGAGGTGTCGCCACTGCGTGACAACTCGCATGGACCGCTCTGAGACCTTGGTGTGACAGACTTCAGCTAGGGGCGATTAACGGGATTAAAAGGAAGCCTGGAAATTAGGTGGGTAATAATGGTAGGTGTGTTGACAATTAGCCGATGGGGCGAACGGAATCGATGCGGTAGCTGCAGACAGAAAGAAAATCGAGAGCTGCTCATCACGAGGGCTGACCACAATCGCACGTGCCAGATGATGGGCACAGTGCACGATTGGTTCAGCTCAGCATGGACGAAGTGCAATCGTAGACCCAAATGAAGCAAGTGCTCTGGATCGAATGTAAGGGACGAACAGCATGTGTAGGCTAGTCAGTGAAATGAGATGTAAAGGGGCAGCGTTCGAAGCTATACAGAGTATAAATGGCTCATGCATATACGAAAAGTACATTTAAAATATTTCGGAAAACTGGTAGCTCGGGTTGATAACTCAGTTCTCATTTGTTCGCCGAGCTGGGAAATGTGTTTGCAAACGTTTCACCGTCATGCGAGGCGGCATCATCAGTGCGTCGAGATGTGGAGTGTAAGCTGTGTGCGGACACTATTTGACAGAGTGCAAACACACTGCCGTACCGCGGAGGCAAAGCAACAAGAAGAGAAGCATCTATTTGAAACGGGTCAATCACCAACTCTGTTTGGAACGCAGAGTGGTGAATGTATGGAACGACCTACCAGCGCACGTAGTAGAGGCAAACTCAGTGTCGGAAGTTAAGAATTTCCTGGACAAACACTTTGCCGACGCAAAATATATCGAGCGGAACACAATATAACGGGTGTTCGTCCATGAGTGACAACTGATGCAGCTACACAGACCAAGCTTTACCCGCTGCTTCTAATCAGTATTCAATATTCAACGCATACCCGCGAAGCTTCATCCGAAGGTGTTTGAACCACAACAAACCAACAGACAATCTACACCAACGACGGAAAGACGCATTGTTTTACCTTATATGAAGAATATATCCGACATGGTAGCAAGACTATTCAAACAACGTCACCTCATCGTAACACACAAACCAAGTGCCACATTGAGAAAAACTGTTGAAACCGAAAGAGAAACTGGAAACTCATGAGCACAGTAATGTTGTATACATACTAAGTTGTAGAAATTGCAAAAAGGACTATGTTGGCCAAACAGGTAGAAAATTATCAACACGATTACAAGGGCACAAAAGAGCATGCAAAAGGCACTATGCATCATCGCTAGTCTCAGCACATGTGGATGAAAAAGAACACAGCTTTGATTGGACCAAAACAGAAGTCCTGGCACGAGGCGAAACAAGAAGAGAAAGGAGTTGCTGGAAGCGTGGTTCTCAACCAGACTCGATCAACATGCATATCGAGATTGACCCAACTTACCAACCCCACCGACGGAGAGAAATTAAAGAAATTATGAGACGCCGCTTGAATAGGAACAACCCGAGCGACGACTTCTGTCACGGGGAAATGGGCAGAGATCACAGGACACAGATCGAAGCGGTCACTTTCGAAAGGTCACCTGCACGCCGATCATGGATCGACAATTCAATCAGCCAGATTACACTCCACATCTCGACGCAGTGATGATGTCACCTCGCATGGCGGTGAAACGTTTGCAAACAAATTTCCCAGCTGGGCGAACAAATGAGCAACGAACAGTACACGTTCAATCGCTGCCCACACATCGTCTAGTTTCACAAAGAACTGCTTTATAGTAGGCTGCTTGTAATAAGAATAGCGCCGTTGCAGTTGACGGTGAAGTATAAATGCATAGTCAGTGCAAAATCACCAAGGGGAAGATCGAACAAGCTTTCGCTGATCTTACTCCAAGCGTCTGAAACCCTTGCGATAAGATTGATCGCACCACAAGATTCACGTGATGTGCAGCGTACAATCCTGCACACACCACCGCACTGACGATGCCACCTCGTTTGGTGGCGAAACGTACGCAATCATTTTATCAAGATCGGACAACCGATCAACGGATAAGGAACTGTGCGACGGCCGATTGCGGGACGATGTTGTGGTATGTGAGTTGGGATGCCACCGCATTACTGAAACCAAGGTAGGGGGGGGTGAATATGGAGTTCAACCAATGCGCTCGACACAAAAGACTGACGGTCAGACAGTAAGAACAGTGGACCAAGATGGACCCGTCTCAGAGAAATGCGTGCTGACCAAGCGAGGAACATCAACACAGAGGATCGAGAGACGGAGTTTATCTGATACCCAACCACTGTCCAGCCTAGTAGGAGTGGTGCTTAAACTGACAACAAGCATCGCAAACATATTTCGATCGGTTGTGGAGGGATACAAACCACTACAATGCACCATGATCCAGCCTCTCTGCAAAGGCGCATCAGGCAATTAGCAAACATCTCACTGCGTTGTGGGAATATGCAGTTGCCAGCCTAATAGATTGACAGCCACCGTATGCATAAGGTATGTCGCCAAACCCACTTTGGCTTGCTGCAAAAAAGCTTCTAAGAAATGGTTGGACTAGGATGAGAAGATTAGGTTGGTCATACATGCGAAATACAGGAAGCACGGCAACCATAAAGGAGCGCATACTAGAGTCAGTAGTAGCTCATAGTATCTACTCGTGTCCTGCGAATTGATACGTGTTACGGCACTGTAAGGCCGGTGCCCAGTTAGGCCTGCCCATGGAACATTGCAAGATGGTTTAGATTTGAACTGACATTACCAGATAATACCTGAAGGGATTGTGACAGGTATGACGTTAAAATCGGTGAATCATTTGCACGCACACCTATTTACATGACGGGCGATATCGACAAGATTGGAAAAGAAATAGGACGAATTGAAAATGGGATGTAGGAAAGAACACGTCAGCTAAAGGAAGAAGCCCACTGGGGACGTGATTAGGCTGTCGTTGAGTAAGAGCGAGCACATTCCACAGGAGATGAATGCTAAGAGAAATACAGGAAGATAGACATCAGTATTTCCTTTGTGAGAACTCACTCGACGACTTTGTGGATTGCATGCTCGCTTAACACGCACCAGAAGGATAAAATTTCTAAAATGTTGGATAAAAGTTTGTCCAAATCCTCGGCTAGTCGCTGGAGTAGCACCATATCAACATGTGCGCTCCGATCACCGCCTCCCGGAGTGTCCCCACCAAATTTGGTTGGTGATGTGACGGTAGCGCGTAGCCAACCCCCACGAACGTCCAACTGACGTCGAAGGAACTTTTGCAGGAAGCTGATCTGTTGAATGAGCCATATGATTTCACCAGAATCCAAACGGGAAATGATCTAAGACAGAAACAGAGAAAAGAGAGACAAAAACGCACATGCAATGATATCGGCAGAGGAATCAAAGAAACTGCTGGATTATGACAAGATGCAAATAAATAAACAGTCGACAGAAGGGCTCGTGGTGTGTATGTGTGAAATTCTGCAACAGTGAAGCCATTTGTTGTCATGAATTAGTCGGTTGCGCTTTGTCCACATACTTAAACTGCGAGTAGAATAAGAAAAAGATAAAAGCACTAACAGTAAATTCATTCGTTTAAGAGAAAGTCTAATACTACATACTGAAAGAGTATGTCTAACCAGTCAAAATAAGTTATTAACAAATCACACGGAACAATGCGACAAGATGGGGTAATAAGAACTAACGAGGTTGATCAAAAGCAAGCACAGACAGTCCAGATGAGAAAATTGACGCGAAACGGATTATAATTATGTGGAAAATAACCGCAGAGACGGAGAGAAGGACAAGTTATTTTCGGCCCTCACGAATATTCAACATAAGCGACCGTCAGTGACAGTAGTTTGCGGAAGCCGGTTCAAGTTGATCTCTTAGGGCGGTTACGAACAATCACAGGATGCCTGCGCCTACTGATGGACTATGGACGGCTTGCGTTGTACCACGCACGGCTCCATCCACACACACCCCATATACAATGTAAATCCGAAGGAATGGGACTGAGAGGCATGTGGATGAGAGCTACGATGTATTCGGAGCTAACCCACATCCTTTTTCAACATCTATGTCGCTGAAATAAAACTCGGAGAAACGCGTTTGCTAGAGGCGCACAAGTTGGTGCTATTTCGTTTCATATCAGAGCCATTCTTAGACTTCTGTAGAAGCATGAAGGCTGCGTACTGCGTGTTCAGCGTGGTGAGTAGGGGGCTACTGAAGCCAGTCGTTGGAGAGACGGTATGAGATGCGAAAGTGAGCTGTCAGTAGCGAGCGAGAAGACAACAGAAAGTTCATAACTGGCCGATCGAGGCACAAAATTACAGGTGAGAAATATGCACAACGCCTAGTGCGCTGAGCGGTGGTAGGGTAGTCCTATCGTCGCTGTTCAGAATAGTGGAGTATCGCTGACGGTTCATCGTGACCATATCAAATATCTATAAGGACGTTTTGAACAATACAAAGGATCCATTGAACGTTCGATAGTCCGACGGCGGTAACCAAGAGTTCGCAACATTCATGACACTCAAGAGACGTGTGGCATTTCAGAGACTCAACCATTTATGTGGACGGCGGGATATCAGAATATCAGTGAAAGGTAAGTTGTGAAGCACTGTAATAAGGCCGATGTACGGAAAATTGGGCAGTTCACAGTAAAGAAATTCAACGATTAGCCATGTTTAACCACCGGTGTTTCTGGAGTATTGCTTACATGTGATATAAATATGGGATAAAGAACACTGAGATTTAACGGGAATTTCTGAGAAAAAACCCACTAGTTTGTTGAATCTAAACCGCTTACGCTGGCTACGTCATGTCCTCCGTAAGCCGCAGGATGTTTCAGACAAGTGGTTGAAGACTGTGTAGGATATGGTGCAGTCGCGCAGTCCGTGACGCTCCTGTACTGTTTTTTTTACATCTAGCTATTAATTTTCATTCCACGTTGATTAGTTTAGCGCAACTCTTTCTTAATTTCAGTTTATTGATATGCTATTTGCATTCAGCCTAAGTTTCTTGCCACCGTTATTTATTGTTATTCATATTGGCGACGTGAGCAGTGGTAACTGGACCCGCCAAACAATGGTGTCCGGATCATGGTTGCTTAACTAAACTGATGCAGGACAATGGCCTACAAAGGAACAAACAAGCGCGGAGATGACCGCAAAGTGATCGCAATACGCATTGTTTCATAATTCGACGAAGCGGAATTCGAAGAGAGTACGTCAACGCAAAACAAAATGAACACATGTAGTTGCACTTCCGCTCCACAGTGTGAGGTGACGAAAGTGAGCAGGAACGCGTATAGCATCCGGGAGCTTAGAGAGGATACTGCGCGAGGTCAGTGGTGCTTACTATTGACGCAGACGTCTTGGTGGTCAGGATGATCGACCAGATATCTGCAATCGATCGACAAGCAGAAAAGAATGGGTATTCGGTGACCTTTATTGGCAGAAGACGGCGAGTACAGATGGTTGACCACCTCACAGACTGGAACTCCTTCAAGGCACAGTGCTGAGGCCCATTTCATTACTGATCCACATAAACGAGGTGCCTCGGCTTCTTCGGTTGCTTTGTGCACTGCATCCAGATGAGTTGAAGATTTGGAGGGTTATTAACTCACTGGACGACTGTGACATTCTTCAGCAGGACCTCGACCGCCTAGCCCGGTGGTCTGCAGAAGTTGATCTACCGGTCAACCCGGCCAAGTCCGCGTTTATGAGCTTGGAGATGGGTGGTAATGGGCGTGGGTACACCCTGGCCGGCCATCCGCTGCATCCCACCAGTTCCATAAAGGATGTAGGCATAGTCTCACGCTGTGATCTGAAGACTGTGGACAACACGAACAGACTGTACGCAAACGGACTACGCCTGTTTTGGGCACTTAGACGCAGCTTCTGCACCTGGTCTGAAGAGATTGCCACCCGTCTGTTCTATTCCATGATAAAACCAGTGCTTGAGTACGTCTCACCTGTTTATTGTCCGATAACAAAAGGTGAGGTGCAGTGACCGGAACGGGTCCAGTGCGTAGCTATTCGGCTCATCCATAGTTTACGGGGTATGTCGCACGAGGACTAATGTAGGAAACTAAGACTTGAAACCCTGTCATATTATGACACACCGGATATTGCATCTGAGCCACTTCCCTATGTTGAGGCCACTAGTGTACTTCCATGCACCAAGCAGTACACGGGAACACGGGTACAAACTAGTGGTACCGGATTTAAAGTACATTGCTCACCATCTATGCTTTGAGTGTCGAGTGGTGAAATGTTGGCAGAAGTCGTCGGAGACGCTAGTCGAGCCGAAATCGGTGTCGGAATTTAAGAGATTTCTTGACGCCCACTTTGCGGACTGCAGGTATAGGGAGCTTATCGCACCCGGAAAACATGTAGTGCAGCTGCAATAGGCTGTCACCGCGCAGGAATCAGCGACGTGATTTCGCACATGTGTCCGATCCACCTAAGATGGAGCAACACAGACTTTAATCTTCCGCTCTCCATTCTCAGTAATCAAGGAAACGCAAGTCGCCGAACGGCAAAGGAGTGCGAAACAGATGTCCCGACGAGGAACAAGAACGAAGCGCCGTCGGGTAGGGTAAACCAACCCAGTGAATTGGGTAGAACTTGGAGGAAGGTGGTTTTCGACAGTTGCTGACACTAGTTGCTTTTCACGTATCCAAGCACCCAGCACCTTTGAGTATTTCGGTTATTTTCATCACCACAGAGAGAGAAACGTGATGTTAAACGATCCTGTGGTATGCTTACGCTTGAATGCCAGTCGAATAACTGACCGTATAACATCCTCTCTTGGGAAGTTAGAGTCAAGTAGCGCCAGCATGATCAATCCCTACGTTCGATCGCTTCATGGTTCGATTATGCCATCAATGGGACACAACCGATGGAAGCCAATGTGAAGCGAAAAGAGTGTGTTGAGCACACGTCCTAACAGAAACCGAATGTGCCTTTTTACACGCTAATATCTTTCTTCCTCAACTCGTAAATAATGTCCATAGACGATAGTGAAAATACAACTCAAGGTTGCGAAGAGATCTATTTGGAGACTTATAACCATGCAAATACAACTAAGAATAAAAAAGCAATATAATGTAATAGTAGTAGTAGTAGTAGTAGTAGCAGGTTAGCAACTAGACACAGAGCCAACAGAAAACCATGGAGATCAGCGGATAAGGGACAGTCATCGCGTCATAATCATCGTGGCATAGTAGTTGAAGGCGAGCAACACACTTCAGCTAATATGCCGCAGGAAGAAAAGAATATTTTGACAAAAAGTAGAACAAAACATTTTCAGTTTGCTTTTCACACGCCGATTTTTCTCTTTTTTCTCATTTTCAATGTTTGAAGTATTAAACATGTTAATCAATACAATACTGTACACAATTCTTCCACTGATTCCAGTTGTGGAACATGTCTTCAAGAGTGTTAAGCCATTGGCACTCCTCATCTTTGGGTCCCCATCCTGGAAGAGGTACGGATCCAACAGTGGCTAGACATGACATCAGCGATTTCATTGGCTGCCGCCATGTAGAAGGCTGACTACTACGCGGTCGCCTCCAGCCAGGTCCTTGGCGAGCGTGACACGGTAGACGCTCAGGTTCCGTTCGTAGGACGTGACCGAGCCATCTCAACTGTAGCAACAAAACCAGTTTGTTGAAGGGAATACTCGCATTTCCCAAGATGCGACGTCGAACGTCATTACTATTAACTCAATGTTGCCATCAAACACGAGCAATCATCCTTAAGCAACCGTCGTCGAAGGTAGAAAGACGACGGATGTCTTCCACGCGTATCGACCAGGACTCGCTCCCATACAACAATACTGGGTGAACTGATGTGCAGTAAACGCGGTCCTTTAGCGAGAATGAGACGTCGCGACGACGCCACAAGTGCTTCAAATTGGCAAATACCGATAGAGCTTTAGCGTACGAAGAGAAACTTCTTTGCTGACAGTGTCGTCAGCATAAACAAAGCTCCCAAGGTAGACGAAACTATCTACCTGTTCAAGTTGTGCACCTTCGAGAGTGAGCACGGGAGCAGGTGGAAACCAATCATTGAGCAGTACTTTACACTTCGATGGGGCGAAACTCAAGCCATAGTTAGATGCTCCAACCATCAAAGGATCCAGAATGAGTTGCATACCCTGAGGATGGTAACCAAGTAAGGCGATATCATCAGCATAATTTAAGTCGGTCGCGCTCTCACCTGGTAGAAGCTGTAGGCCAAAATGTTGGAAACCTCCTCGAGCATTCGACAGTACGTCTTCGATTGCGAAGTTGTAGAGGAATGGGGACACAGGGCAGCCCTGTCGCACACCGCTATTGACAGCGAGAAAAATTTGACACAGACCCTCACTCTACCGGATGTATGAAGGTAAAGGGCTCGTAAGATGGCGGTATATTTCTCTGGCACCCCGTTCTTTAGTAAGCAACGCCATAAAGCAGATCGATCAACGGAGTCAAAAGCGGCACATATGTCTAGGAATGCAACGCCAATGGGCCAAAGATAAATGTGGCGATGTTCGAAGAGCTGGCGGAGAGTGAAGATTTGATCCACGCATCCGCGGCCGGGACGGAAACCAGCTTGTCCTTCACGGTAGTATGATTTACGTACTAGGGATAGTCTACGAAGCAGAATGGATGCCAATAGCCTGCAGGCAAGTGAAATAAGACTGATCGCGCGATAATTTACACATGGTGCGAGCGCCTTTCTTGAAAATCGGGACAATAACTGATTCATCCCAAGAGAAAGGCACTTCCTCTTCATGCCAGATTTTTGCGAACAACGCGGTCAGCTGGTTAATGATTGACAAACGCCGTACTTGAACAACTCCGGAGGAAGACCGTCTGAACCGGCAGCCTTGAACCGCTTCAAGCGTCGAATCTCGGGGCAGAATTTCGCTTCGCTGGGTGGATTCAGTGGGACGTGCCAGGGTGGACAACGAGGTGTACTGCATGTACTGATGGATAGTGGAGGCCAGTTGAACTGCGAGTGAAAGTGCTCGGCCCAGTAGTCCAAACGCCGCTGTTGGTTGGTGATGGGAGACTCATCCACCTTACAAATGACCTCAGTGATACCAGGCTTCTTGAGGCCAGTGGACCGAATGAGTTGGAAAAGCCTGCGAGAGAGAACAGCGGTCTCCATCTCTAAAGCACGCTCAGACAACCATGCCTAGTGATACTTGCGTAGGCTTTGCCTGAGCAGCCGGTTGGCAGAACGGCGCCGCTCGTTGCAATCTGATTCCGCCGGGATATTTTTGCGGCGTTCGAACAGCTCCAGAGAACGAACAGAGATCCAAGCATTTAGGGGACCACGAGTTAGGCAGCAGCTTGACTGTCCGGAAATGGTCATCGCTTTCCGTATACAAGTCCAGTGTTGCTCCACGTCTTGCGGTGGATTGCAACTGTACATATTCCAGTGAAGACTGATAGCTCGCCTAGACAAAGGAATCAGTAAATCTGTTAACATGAATCTTGCGGTGCTTCTATTTCAGGACCACTAAAACACATACAGAATTTCGCGCAGAGAAGTGCATGATCTGAGCCAACAAAGGTGGACCAAAAGGACGTGCAGTCCAGTACGCTGTCACGTCATCTAAAGCTAATTGCAATGTGATGAGTTTGAGACCACAGATGTGTTGGCGAAGGGGGACGCCACGTTGCGGAACTCTACTTCGTACGCCTGAAGTTAGTGCTCGAGAGAAACAGATAGCTGTCTTTGCACAATGTGAGAAGCCTCTCCCAGTTATCAGAGCGGTTCTCATGAAGCGCGTGATGACCACCAAGGTGGCGTTCGTATGGTAACAGGCGGCCAACCCGTGCATTAAAATCCCCAGCAAGGATAACGACATCCGACTTTTTAGCATTAATCAAGAACTGATGTAGATCCCGGTAGAATTCATCCTTGACCGTGTCACCATTGCAGTCAGCTGGAGCGCACATGGAGATCACAAACAAGTTGCGTCTCTCTTAGCGGTGCTCCTTGATTCTACATGAACCCTGAAGCCTAACTGCACATAGTCGGCTGTTAACAGGGAACCAGTCCAGTAGTGCCGCCTCGGCCTTGTCAGTTAGTGCTATACCTACACCAGTCAAACCCTCTGAGGCTGCTTCTGGATCTCCAGAAAGATGCAGGTGATATCTAGCTTCGTGGTCACTGGGATCTTGCAACCGGGTTTCTGAAAGGCAGCAGACATCAATGTCTAGGGACTCTAGGGTGCGCGCTAGACCGGCTTGCTGTCCAATCTGCATGAGTGTCCGAACGTTGAAGCACGCCAGACGGAACGAGGATCGGGGACGAAGGAGAGCCATAGGTTGAATTCCTTGATCTGCGGAGCAACCGGAATCGCAGCCAGATTGCTGAACACATGAATTGGGTGACGGAAAGTGAGGATGGTTAGCAAACAAACAATTGGCGTGTGATGAAGTCGCGTGAATGTGAGAAGCAGAAACAGTAGCTGATGAGCACGTTGTAGTATAGTGTATGGTTTTGTGACAGGATGTGATACTACCCGGTTGCTCAAGCCGAAGTAGGGAGTTGACTTAGGGGACTCCACACCCAGGCCTTTGGCTCAATAACCTACCCTCCAGGCAGCTGGGCGAATTTAGGGAATCGCGTCCATTGGGGGGGGGGCTCTGACTGAATGTTTGGTTCACGCGTCTTTGTTTGGTAGATCACTAAACAGGGGCCCAATACTCAACTGAAGACAGGCATTACGGCAGCCGATGGCGAGAAGGAGATCACACTTGGCTGCCACAAGTGTCCGATGCTGAGGAGTTGGCGCATGTTCATGGCAAGAAAAGTGCTTGATTAACTCCGGTTGCAGCATTCTGATAGTAATAGCCTCTGGCGTTCCCAGGAGCCGTTTTCTAAGAATGTTGGGGTATCTTTTGGGCACAGAGTAGAAGGTTTTGAATGAGTCGGCTGGAAAGATTTCGTTTTCATTTGGAGTAAGTGCTCGATGATGGCACTGTTAAATCCTCCGACCACGCCCCTTCTTAGCGACACCAGGAAGTACTCAGCCATTCGTTTTGACAAACGCCTGGTCGTATGTCCAATATATCTTGCAACATAGGTACACACAGATCTACAGAGCTCGGCCAAGCGCCATATCTTTAAGTGTCTCGAGGCATCTGCATTCCTTCTCCATGGGTCTCCAGGCAAGAAGAAGCATGCACACAACGGTGGCCGGACGTTACATCTGAGATCTCATGCGTTGTTACCAAAATGTCGGACCAGCACACAGCCTCCGCCAAACCAAGTGCGCTAGTGGTGATTGATGGTTGCGGCGGCGACTGACTGACAGGCATGCGTAGGACATGGACGAGCCATCGTAGGAAGTGCGGAAGACACTGCGATGCCAGTGTTATGTGTGTGATTTAAAGCGCGACGTCGGTTATATCTGAGCGACACACAGCCCACTTTGCATCAGTAAATCAACACCCATACCAGCCAGTGTGCGCGGTAGCCACTTCAGCGATGCCGCCGCTACAGTGATACGACTGTTTAGGTTTGGAGACAATGTTGAGAAATGGTGCCGTGTTGGAATATGATAGTGTGAAGATACGAAGTAGAAAGCAAAGAATGTAGTGCTCTACATGAGCATATTCAACAGCATTGAGAATGCTTGTAGCTCGGGGTATGAAGGAGAAAGCTGGGTTGTCCCCCGAGCTGGAAATTTCGGTTGCAGGCGTTTCATTAACAGATTAGGTAATATCACTAGCGAAATGTCCATGAAAATTGAGCTGATGATGTTGGCTAGCCTGGTAACGAAAGGTCTGTAACTAGAACACTCAGCTCAAATAACAACCCAGTTCCGTGTTGCTCTCTCCCGTCCCGAGCAACAACGAAATACTCCGCTTCGGTGGCGGTCCCAGTGATCGGATTGACAGAGGCTAATTTCAAAGTCAATTGAGATTGCGTGTCACAATCCAAGACACACGGTTGGGGGCTCCAAAAACCCAAAAATCCACAACCCAGTTCCCCCAGATTTAGCGGCAATTGCGTAGGAACAGAATCCGAACTCAGTAGCACGCGTGAACTATAGCAAACAGAAGGAGGGATAACTGAGACAAGTCTAATCATTGGTATAAAAGA